TTATTAAAAATTTACAAATTTTTTACTTTTTATTTTTGCTACCACTGTAATATTATTGAGCAATTCTATGTAAAATGATCGAGTAAAAATTTTAATTTTCTGGTATTGGCTTGAAAACTCTACACGAAAAGAAAATAAATATTAAATTTTATTAAACTAATTTGCCATTTTGGAAAAAAATAGCGACATAGCGAAATTTTTATAAACAATATATAAGAATTTTATAAAAATTATCTGAAATTTATTATAGTTATATCAAATAGCAAGAAGGTTAATCAAATTTTAACATAACTATACTTTTCATACAATTTTTTTAATTCACTATTTTTTAAATCAAATCTTCGTTTTCTTGTATTATGTCCCCAAATTGTAAATAAAAATACTTTTACAAAATTTAATAATTATTTTCTTTCCGTATGATAAATTGTTGGTCTATTTGTATATTATAAAAGTAATAAAATACTAAAAAAATTATTTTTTTTAAAAATAAATTATATTTATGGGGTTGGCAGTTACAAGGTTTTAAGCGAAATTTTTAATTTATATAATTTCAATAAAGTTACCAAATCTTAATTTTTGTGCAATGAATATTAAAGCATTTTTTATGTACTTTTCGAATACAAAAATCTTTTTTCCAAAAAATTAACAATATTAACCCCTATTTTTCAAAAATAAAACTTATTTTCAATTATACAAAAACCGACTCTTTTTACAATTTTCTATCATTTTCATTAAATAGTTGAGCTTTTTTCCAACAAATTATGTAAAGTTTGAAAATGCACTGAAAACAATTTTTTTTTTAATTAAAAAATAAGTGTCTAGCCAAAAAAATAAGTTTGAATTAAAAATATTTTATAATTGAAATAAACGTAATTTTTTTAATCAAATTTATTACGTGGTAAATCAAAATTATAGTTTAATTGGAAAATAATTTTTGGTCGCCTGTATAATAAAGATTTGATACAAATATACTGTGTTCTCAGTATGGAACAACGATGAGTTTTCAAGAAAGAACAAAAAAAATTTTTAAATATTGCTTTATTTTCTTTTATTTCAATTAGATTAATTCACGTGAAATTGTATTGAAAATTGAAACATAAATCTATTATAAAATAATATGTAATAATGAAATATCATTAATATTTACATTGTAGTCTCCTTAAATAGTTTTAATTGACTGTGGATTTATATATTTCTTGAAACTAAGAAAAAAAGAAATAATAATACACAACCGTTTATTTCTTTGCCAATACTCTTTTGATTGATAAACATATTTGTATATAATATTATGATCCTGAATGTTCACTTTTTTAAAAATAGATTTAATAACTGACTTTGATTGAACCGCGTCTGAGACATGCAAATGAAAAAAAAAAATAAAGCAGCTTCAAGTTGTATAAATAAATAATTTGTTTTGTTTAAAAAAACACTCACCACGAAAAAGCTCGTTCTCCTTCTCTCCTTTTCTCTCTCAGAAACATTACATAAGAGAATTATGTTGCGCAATTCGAATTCAATGAAAAGGGTACAAAACTTTTAAGTAATGCATTCAACACTTCTTAACACCTGTAACAAAAGAGAAAATTTTCTCAATAAAAAAAAATGTTTTGAAATTCAAAGAATTGATAAACATTCAAAGAGTTGCTAAACATATTAATAATACAAGAGGCTGATACAATTTCCAGCATCATAACGCGAGATGTCCTTCACAGAATTGAAAAAAAATAAAAATTATAAATTATTATGATTCAACAGAGAGAATTAAAATCCATTCATTGTGAATAGAATTAAACAATATATGTGTATGCATAAAAAAGTTCTTTCATTAAGAGTAAACACCAATCACTCGTTGCCGTATATCACATTATATGTATATTCATATTAAATCGTTCAACCAATTATTAGCAAACAAAATTGATGCTTTTAATTTCCTATTCCTATCTAAAAATTAATGGAGCATAGAAATTCTAGTGTCTCAAAAAAATATGTTTTATACTCAAAAATAATTTATTACAGCTACAAGATTACAAAAACATTAAAGAATTGATAATTCACAAGAATTTAACGTTCGAATGAACGAAATATTTTTCATTAAAATTATTTTTATACATTACTCATTGTAATAAAAACTAGAAACTTAAATTTAACGTTTATAAACTATAATTAATTTCCTTGATAACCTGAAACAAAACTTACTTGATTCAATTAAACGATTACTTGTTTGTTATTAAATATAGATATATTTACTCGTATCAAATAATTTGTTGTCCATTAAATAAAATTAGCGAAAAATAATTTATTTAAACGAACATTTATTAAACTTTGAGATTAACGATCATTCCTAGTAAAATTGACAATATTTTTCAGAATACTTCACAGTAAAAATAAAAAAAAACAATTTGACTCGAAAAGATCGTTAATCTGAAAGTTTTCTTTATAATCAAGACTACCGAGGGATAAAGTCAAAAAATTACATTAAACAAATATTTATTTGATAGAAGATAAAGTAATCGATTAGTTGATTCAAACAAATTTTTGGTCAGTGAATGTTACAGAAAATTATTGTTATAAAATTATAATTTGGAGAAGAAATAAATAAATTCTGTACAGAACTTTAGGAAAACACGCAATAAAAGGAAACTCTTATGGTTGCCACAAAAATTTAATTTTGTTTTTTCCTGACTTTTCCCTGAGTTCCAGACAAAATTTTGACCTTTTCCCTGACCTTAAAGAATATTCTGATTCACTCTAAAAAAAAATTTGATTCTCAAAAAAATGTTCTATTACATTTATTAACGAATTTCTTTAATTGTAAAATTATTCCAAAACATCAATAGTTTTATTTATAATAATAAATATTTAATCATTATTAATTTTTCAGTAAGAATTAAGATTTTCAAAAATTTAAAATTCAAACCTTTTTGGAATTTAACAACTTATAAGTAGGTACCTACCTATATTATTATAAAACATGAACATATCGATTTTCAATTTCTTCGTGTTTTTTAATAATTAAAGTTGATCGAGTGATAAAATCATTAGTTTATATTATAAGAATATTGTTACTGTAACTTCTTCAATATTATTTTCATCATTTCCATTCAATTATTATTTTCTAAAATTGTTCACTAAAATTCTATTTTAAATCAATTTTTTAATAATTTTTGAAAAAGTTCTTTGAGAATTTTCAAATCCATTTTTTTATAATTCAATTTTACGAAAATTCGATTATTCGGAAATTGTATTAAAAATAATTGAAATTCTGGGATGAGTTTTATTTTTTATGAAAGTAATTGAGGGGCTGGATGCTATAAGGTGTTACGCGCCATGTTAAGTGAATGGCGCGTAACACCTTATAGCATCCAGTCCCTCAATTGAATCTCTGTAAAAAATTTTATTATTTTTGAAAATAATAAAAAAAATTATTGCGAACAAATTTACAAAAAATTTGTAAATAATTGGAATTCATGTGAAATTTTTATTATTTATGAAAATAATCAAACGTTTGCGATAAATTTTATTGAAATAATTGAATTCTTTTAAAAAATTTTATTAAAAAATAGTAGATATTGAAAATCATTGAATTGAGGAAAATTTTTGAAAATAATTGAATTTCTGCAGATTTATATTATTTATAAAGGTAATTGAATTCTTGTCAAGAATGTCTTTAAAATGTTTTCATAATAATTGAATTCCTTCAAAGAATTTTGTTATTTATGAATATAATTGAATTCTTGTGAAGAATTTTATTAAAACTTTTTAAAATAATTGAATTTCTGTGAAAAATTGTATTATTTCTAAAGATAATTGAATTCTTGCCTTAAATATAATTAAAATTTTTTGATAATAATTGAATTCTTATCAAGTATTTTTTTAAACTTTTGAAAATAATGGAATTTTTGCTAATAATTTTATTATTTATAAAGATTGTAATTGAAATTTTGACAAGGATTTTTAAAAATATTTTAACATAATTGCATTTCTCCGAAAAATTTTATTACATTTAAAAATAATTGAATTTCAGCAATTATTTGGAACTTTTATAAAATTCAATTTTTTTTAGTGTTTTTAACTAAAATTCTTCTATAAATCTATTATTTCTCTTATGAAGAATTTTATCAACAAATTTTTAAATAATAATTACATTTTCGAGAAATTCGAAATCAATTAAATATACATTAAAATATTTAACTAATTTCAGATGATTTTAAATTATTAAAATTTTCCAAAATCAAAGTTCTTTAAAATTTCTAATTAAATTCATTCAAAATTGAAATTTTCTAAAATTTTAAATTGAAACTTTTTGAAGTTCATCTATTTAGGAAAATTGTGAACGCAACTCTTTTAAAATTCAACTAATTTTGAAATATTTAAGTCAAATGATTCATTAAAAAATTTATAATTTTATGATAGTTTTTCAAGAATTACTTTACTGAAAAAGAAATTATTGTCAGAAATAGAAAAAATTGAATGTTTTGCATTCGAATTCGAGGTAATTTCATAATTTATGAGGCAAACAAAAAAGACACTAAAATTAAGAATTTTCTTATGAATTTTAAAACTTTAATTTTTTCCAGTACTTAATAAAAATCCCTGACTTTAAGACAGAAAGAAAGTTTTAAATTAAGATACAGCATTCTTAAGTCGACCAATTGCTGAATTTACGCAACGAATTTTTGAGGATTTTACGTGTTAGCAGGCAGTGCTGAATTTAAGACTGATCTTAAATTAAGATTTTCTTTTTACCGTGAACATAGAATTGAGAACATAGTCATACTTATTGATTTTCAAGTATTACTCGATTACATCAAATGCTCACACTCTTTTTTTAAAAATCAGCTAATGTTTTAATCGATTTCAGTTTTTCCTAAAGATTACATTTGCCTGACAATCAAAGAACTGATGTAAATTATATTCTAGGTTTTGAGAGTCTCCTCGACCTCGTTTAAAACCCTAGAAGTACATTGAGTATATCCCAGAGGCTTCCGTATAAAACTCGTTTTTTCAATACCAAGGTCCGCAGTCCGAAGAAGTTCTTTCAAGATTGATGACCGCCAAATAACAAAAATAATCATAAACATCTTTTAAAATTTAATTTTATTATAATTAATTTTAAAGTAATTTTAAAATAATGTTATTCAAATAATTAAACCAAAAAAAAAATAGTTGACCAATAATGACATAGTATTCTCGTATTTTTCATATCACTGCAAATTTTATTAGTCAAAATTTTTGATTTAAAAAAGAAAAAGTGAAGTTCTAAGAAATAAAGAAAACATGGAAAAAATTACGTGCACTTGGTTAGTGATTATTACAGTAATTAGTGCTTGCACGTGTGGTGTTAGAACCGCGTGCAATGGACCTACGCAAATTTCTGTTCTCACTGGAGTACACGACGATCCTGCATGCAGAAAATTGTCTTCCAAGGGAGTTATGCTCTTCGAGGCTGCCAGGTTTCTTACCGAAGCGCACAATAATAAGACAAATGGATATAAAATAGGTCCATTTTTTTCCTTTATAATTTATTTACTACTGCTTGATTATTATGCCGATAAAATTCGATAATAAAAATTAGAAAAATGCAGCTAAAAAGTAGTTTCTTTTATTTCCATCATCAACTATGTACATCCAATCATTTGATTATTTTCTGATTCATTAAAATTATTATCATTTTTAATCAAGCTCTTAATTACTACACTATTTTTAATTCCTACTTTCCAATATTATTTGCCTTTCTTTTTGTATTGTTTTACAAGGAGAAAGAAGGAAGAAATTTAAAAGTATTTTGAGAATATTTAGCAATCCATTAAATCACCAAAGTGGCTTATTGCAAAAAATTCGTTAAATATTCGTTAAACTTCAGTTAAACATTTATTTTCTGTTAAAAAATGTGTTCTTCTTTAAACAGATTTATTGCTCCAAGTAATAAATCCGATTAAGAAAAATTTCTTCCAACAACCTGTTTTCCTAATGGTTAAATTAGAAATCGTAGTATGAGCACAATAATTCCTTTTCGTCTAGTTAACGATTTTGATTTTTATCACGCAAAAAATATAAAGTAACTTTTACTATCTACAAAGTAAAACCTGAACTATCTGGAAATTCTACGTGTTTTTGTCAACTTTTACTGTTTCCTGAGTCAATAATATCTACTATCGAAAGTAAATTTTATTAAAATTTTTTCTAAAAATAATAAAAGTTACCAAAATGCTCTAGAAATCTTATTACCGAGAGTAAATTTTACTAAAATTTATTCAAATTGTAGGAAAATAATAAAACTAATACATTCGGCTAAATGGTTCTTAATAAAAATTTGTTCCAATGTTTTGACATATAAATGATTTTTACATCAGAGTGTCAATAAAAAATAATACAAATGAACAACAACAGTTAAAAAAATATATTTAATAAAAATTAATAATAAATTAAGAACAACAAAACTAAGTATATCATCAAATGCAAATTACAATAAATTAACAATAAAAATAATAAAGATACATTTACACTGAAAATATTCAAAAAGCCAAATTGACAATAAAAAAATAGGAAAAGTTACCAAAATTGCACAAAAATGTTATGCTTGAACATAAATGTTACTAAAATCTAATAAATTTACCAAAATCTATTCAAAATAGTAAAAATTATTTTGGAAATAATAAAAATAATTTTACTACCAAAAAACAATTTTAATAAAATTGATTATTAAAATTTAAAAAGAAAAAATTATTTTTTACCGGATCCAAAAGTAGATTTTATTTTGAAAATGGTAAAAAATGATAGAAATAGCAAACATTTTTATTACAAAGATAAAAAATATAAATATAAAATTAAAAAATATAAATTTTACATAAAATATAATTTTAATAAAATATAATTATATTATAATATAATAGGGGAGAGTGGTCCTAAGTTGGCCGTGGGCCTAAGTTGGCCACCCTGCATTTCTCAGAGATGGTATACTGGACGAATCTATAATTTTGTGGTATGATATATTGATAAACCATGATATAATTTATGGACCTAATTATAATCTAAGATTCTTCTACGCATTGTGAGGACAATAATATTGTTTTTGACCAAAAAAATTTGATTTTTCTTGTTTTTTCGAGAGCAGCTACAAGAGATAAATAATTAAAAATTTCTAAATAAGTGTGTGCGCTAGTTCCTTTATTTAATGTTGTAATAAGAGGTTCTGTTGATTTTTTAAATAAATTTTTTTTATTAGCGTAATAATTTGAAACTTGTAAAAATCTACAGTGGTCCTAAGTTTGCCACCTATTGTTTTTGTTTGTTTTTATTTATGTTTTATTTCTTTTTTGTGTTTTTTATCACGAGAAAGACCGTAAAAGTGTAACGTAGGAATTAAACAAAGACAAAAAACAAAAAAAAATGGTTTAAAAAACATTAGAAAAAATGAAGTACAAAAACGCCTGTCTCTACAGCCATCCACCACTGTAAATAAATGAAATAAAATATTGCTTCATTTTCTAAACAAAAATAGTTAAATAATGCGTTTTTATTCTCCTAAATGTATCAAATTTGTAAAATTTCTGCGTAATTGAAAAGAATATGCATTTCTTCCTTATACTCAAGCGAAAAAAAGTGGTGGCCAACTTAGGACCAGGGGGTGGCCAACTTTGGACCGCTATTTCTGAAATGTCCAAAATGCAGCTTTTCGCGATTTATTGTATTAAGACTGCAAAAGTCATTCTATAACGTTCTAAATACCACAAAATTATAGCAAAACGATCTCTGAACACTAATATATACTTGCCGAAGTGATTAAATTTCATTTTGTTACTATTTTCGACCAATTTGCTTAGGCGGCCAACTTAGGACCACTCTCCCCTATAATTTTATATAAAAATATAAATTTTACCAAAAAATTTTGTATTGATTAGGTTAAGTAGATGATAATGTATTAGGGAGTCTCGAACCCTGCGAAAGGCAGGGAGAGTAAATAAACAATATTAGTAAAATTTATTTTGGAAATAGTAAAATTTACTAGAATTGTACAGAAATTATTAAGATTAATTAAATTTACTAAAATTTATTTAAAATAGTAAAATTTACTTCGAAAATAGTAAAAGATGAAAAAATTGAACAGAAATTTACTAATGAAAGTAGATTTAACTAAAAATAAAAATCTTACTAAAAAAAATTTAATAAAAATGGTGCAAAATTCCAAAATTTATTTAAAATAGTAAAATTTACTCCAGAAATAGGAAAAATTACTGAAATTGCACAGAAATTTCATTAGCCAAAATAAACTTTACTGAAATTAACTAAAATTTATTTAAAATAGTAAATTTTACATCGGAAATAATAAAAATTGCCATAAAGAAATTTTACTGACGAAAGTAGTAGGTGGCAGACAGTTAAGAGACTTTTCCTTGTATTAGGTAAAAGTTACTTTTTACTGCGTCCTTACTTAATTAATAGTAAAATTTAATCGGGAAATAGTAAAAGTTACTAAATTGCTTATAAATTTTACCACAGAAAGTAAAATTTACTAAAATTTATTAAAAATAGTAAAATACACTAAAATTACAGAAAGTTAAGAGATTTTTCTTTGAAAATATAGTAAAAGTTACATTTCAGTGCTTCCAAAAGTAAATTTTACATAAAAAACAGTAATAGTTGACTGAATTTTCAAAAGTTATTGTTACAGCAATACGAGTATCACCAAAAGGATAAATATTAAGAAGTTTTAAAATTCTAAAATAATTTATTTAAAATAGTAAAATTGACTCAGTAAATAGTAAGAATTACTAAAATTGCATAGAAATTTAACTACCGAAAATAAAATTTAATTAAAATAGCAGAAGTTTACAAAAATACACTAAAATTGCAGAAAATTCAGAGGCTTTACTGCTTCAAAAAAAAATATCAAAAGTTCCTGTTAGTTAAGGTTTTATTATAAAACTATAATAAAAGTTACTTAATTCGCTTTTCCGTGGAGCAACAAAAAAATGTTTCCAAATTTGTAATTATGCTAGCAACATTGCCACTTAAAGCAATATTAAAATAAATACTTATGTATAATTTACATCAAAAGTAGCAATATTAAAGCAGTTTTGGAAATATTTGTTATACAGTTTTAAGTATTTTGGAGGGATATTAATATTACATAATATTGATACATGCTATTGCAAAAAATTTTAAAGAAAATCTTATCAGTTCAAACGGAAATTTAAAAATCGAAATCTTCAGAAAACTATATAAAAATTTCGCATTTTTTATCATCAAAGGTGAACTTTGTAGAAGGTGCAAATTCCATTATTGCTTTTAATAAATCACTGGAGAACAAGTATCAACAAAGAATCATTAAATATTTTTTTCTCAAATGTTTGTAATGTTACGTATTCAAAAATTATAATTTCATAATAAGACATAATAGTACAAAAAGTTCATATTTTTTATTCAAATTCCTGACCTATAAATATTCTAAAGTAGTATATTGAAACGCATTTTATAGATTGAACTATAATACAGACTAATATGATTGAACAATTAAAATGATCTCCAGACCTTGAATTAATGACATCTGTCAATATAATCCTGATAAAAAATTTAAATTAAAATCTATTTTTTTAAAAATATTTTTCATTATATTCAGACTTGGCTGTTATGGACACGTGCGGAAGCATTGCAGGGGCAATGAAAGCTTCAATGAGAGCTCTTGTTAAGGCAGATGTCAACTGCTTACAACCACCATTCCATTTAGGTAAGTAGACATCAATAAAAACGACAATTAGCTCTCCAATTCTTTTTTAATTTTATATTTTTAGTTTCGATTTTTTTAAATCAACCCGATGGAGGAATAAAAAAAATATGGCGCAATCTTAAACAAGAATTAAATCATACATTGTGGATGATTATTAACATAATTATACAATTAATATGCTAATCTGATAACTGTATAAAATGAATATTAATCTCCGTCAATAGAATTTGAATTTACTTTTACCAGAAAAAATCTAATTGTACATTTAACAATTAATAGTTGTGTAATAAGTAATTTAATGCATTCAAATAATGTATTCTATTCTAACAAAGTTGGTAGCACAGTAGAGTCAAAAATGGTATTTCAATTTATCTTCTTCTGCATTAAGAAAGTTGCAAATTAATTCTTTATACGAAAGATCATTTCTCTTCCTATCAATAAAAAAAACCCGTTGTTGAATAATGACGTAGAAATTATCTTTTATTGAATATCGACAATATACCACTATAATATCGTAAACTTGACTTTTAATAATTATAACAATTTATAAATACAAGCTTCCAGTGAACGGAGAGTTAACTTATTGTCATTCAATAGGGATTCATTAACGATTCATTTAGAGTGAATGGCAATACAAGAATAAAGGCCGTGACCAACATAGACATTTTTGTCAAGGAATTTTTTTTTGATTTTTTATATATTTATATATTTTTTTTTATTTTGAAATTATCTTTTCAAAGTCTGTAGCATGAAGCTGCATATTTAATGACAATAATTCATATACTACAATAATTATTTCCTCGAGGCATAATAGCTCCTCCCTTTTTCATAATATGAGACACAATATAGACATATTTGTTGCTATAAAGAAAAATTTTTCATTTCAGGAATAATTGGTCCAGACACAATAACAAATGCTGAGGCTGTACAGAAAGTAACTTCAGTCCTAAGAATACCTCATATTCTAAGAAAAGCATCAAATTCGCCCTTTATGCACTACATGCCTAAAGAATCGGATGCATACATTGTTCGAGTTAGTAAATGTACTGTTTAGAAATATCAGTAAAAAAATTTTTTAATTATTTAGTTGGGTAATTTTCCAGGGTTTGCAACAAATTTGGTTTTCGTTTTGCCTGGCTTTTCCCTGATTTTTAGAAATATCACCAATAAAAATTTTAATTATTTAGTTACGTATTTTTCCCTGACTTTCGGATAGAATTTTAACCCTTTTCCCTGATTCGTACTAAATCTATTTTCTATTATTTCGGATTCAAAGAGAATAAAACCATTCAAGGGGCCTTTAACTATTGAGAAAGATTATTTTAAAAAAGGAAAAATTTTATTTTAAACTTTAAGGGTGTTTTATTTTAAACATATTTTAAAAATTTTTGAAATAAAATTATTTATTGTGATTCACGAGTTCTGAACTTACAAATAAACGAATTTTTTGACAACATAAATATTTCCAAAAATTACTGACTACTATAAAAAGCAAAAACAAAATTAAAACTCTAGAATCTTTGTCATTTATTTTATTAATATTATAGACGCAATATTATTGCAGTAAAATTTGGATTTGAAAAAGAAATAAGTAAATTTCGTTCATTTGAACGTTCAGAACATTATAGAGACATTAAAATTCTTAAAAAATTAAAATTAGTTTTAATAGAATTTTAGAAAAATTCTATTATTTTGAAAAATCTCAATTATATGTTTATAAATATTCAATTACCTTGAAAAAAAAATAAAACTAAAATTTTTTGCAGAACCTAATTTTTCAGACACTGGGTCAATTTGATCTAAACTTTATCATCAGTCGATGTTCTAAAATAAAAAAGAGAAAAGAAAAAAAAAAACAAAAAAAGAAAGAAAGATTCTTTTAATATGATTGTTTTACATAAAGTTTAAAAATATTTAATTAAATTTGTATAAAATTAGTTTATAAATTGGTGATGTACAGAAGTACCTATATTATAGAATAAGCTATATCCCTGATGTTTTAAATAAATGTAAATATAATTTGTAGTAGAATGAAAGAAAAAATTCTTTTTAATAAAAATAAAAATTTTATAATCAATAATAAAAATCGTAATCGAAAATTTTTTATTCAATAAATTTGAATTATAAATTAATTAATTCTTAATCCGGATCAAAATGACCTAGTGTGTCAACGGAAGGTTAATGCCGCATTTATCACTGAATAAACGTATGAGTTATATTTGAATATGACTCTTTGTAAAATTATTAAAATTATTAAATTAAAAAAATTATATTCAATTAAAAATTCAATTTTTTAAAATGTCAAGTAAAAGTCTTTAGCAAATTTAATTACTTTCAATTCAATTCAAGTTGAAATGAAATTTCTGAGAAAATTAATATTTTTGTGAATTATATAATTAAGTATTTAGGACTTAAATAATTTATAATTATTATTAATCCTTTTACAGCAATTAAAATTTTCGGAAATTTTAGTTAAAAATCTTCTGAAATTCAATTATTTTTTAAAATTGCAACTCTTTTTTAACTAAAACCTTTTCTCTGCTAATTATAATTATTATAAGATGGAAAAATATCCATAATTGTTATATTATTACAAATGAAAATCTTTATTTCTTTATTTTGATATCTCTGACCTGTGGCAACACTATTGTTTTTACTATTTAATGTTCCTAAAGTTTTGAACATTCAAATTAACAAAACTTATTATTTTATTTCTTCTTTAAATTAAAATTCTTTTATCACAATTTTACTTGACATATTATAAAATTATTTATAGTTTCTAAATGTTGAATTCGAGTTTAAAATTTTTGTTGCAATTAGTAATGTATGAAAATATTTTTAATAAAAAATATTTCATTCACTTGAACGTTAAAAACTTGTAGAGCATACTATTTTCTAAAGATATATGTATAATTTTTAAATGAACGAAAATTAGAAAACTTTGGGTAGAATGCAATAGAGAATTTTTTTCTAGAAGAAAACAAAATTACTTCAAAGAAATACTGAATCATAAATGAATTAAATAAAAGAAATCATTTCTTTTAGGGAATTATGAAGATCCTTCATGCTCTGAATTGGAAAACGTTTACTTTAGTTGCACAGAATAATGATGACAATGATGATGATGTGCAAAATATTGCCAAGAAATTAACGATGGAAGCTATTTCAAAAGGTCTTTGTGTCTTGGTACACGATCATGACGAAGATGGTAAGACGATAAGATTATATGTATTAGCATTATCCTAGACACATTTTGATTACATAGTAAATACAAACCAGCAAATAAATTATCAACAAAATTTTTTCTTTCATTACAAGAAAAAAATGTCTCTTACAATATTGAATATAATCAATAAAAAAAATTTGGTAGAAAATTCTGCAAAAAAAGACACTTTTTTAAAATTGTTGTCAGACTTTCTGATTTCTATTTTTTAAATAAAACTTTATAGCGTTTTAAAATCTATAATTATTTTTGCACAATATTTTCCACTCAAGAGCTTTATTCACATAACTATAGACTTTTTTACACTTTATTTTTTCTTTTTTCAAATTATAAGTTTTTTAATCCTTGTAGAATGTAAATATCTAACTTCATTCATAATGTATTAGTGTATCAAGAAAAGATTACGGATCTTGAATGGTGAATGGGAATTTTAATAATAAATTTACTTATAAATTATATACATTAGAAAGAGTCCTTAAAAATAAAGAAAAAATATTAAATTACAAAAATTTCTACATAATTATTATAAATACCCGCCCATTATACAACAAAGTTAAAGAAAAACTTATCTTTCAAAACCAGATTATTCATCGAAAATCGTGCACATTGGGAAACCTAGTAATGGACTTTTTACCGGATCAATGAATGCATCGATTCTGGTGGTTAGCGAAGGAAATTTAGAAGGATATTTAAATCGTGTAAATTCGACTAATTCAATATTACTCTTAGAAGATGCCAGGTAACGTTTATTAGATAACTCTCATATATAACACGTAGTTAAAAAAAAGAAAATACGTATGAATTATTATTTAGGAATTTATATGAAAAATAACGCAATTTTTTCAATACACTGATGATGATGATGATGATGACACATCTAAATTATTACGTATCTTCCGTTTTAATTGGAATCTAACAGTGTATCATGATAATTTGATTTGTGAAGTTAGAGATGCATTTTCCTCAACGATATATATATGTATACTGAAAATTGAATTGAATATTTAATTGCTTTCTGTTATATTAATTACGAATACCGGTTTTTGAAAAACACAGTAAAAAGTAAAACAAGGAATTTTAGCCTTGAATTAAGGAACACCTTTTTGCAACTAAATTGCAATTTACAATAAGAATTAACTTCTCTGAACGACTTCCTAGTTAACTTATATTTCTTACCACTTTCTCGAAGGTCGATACAGTAATAATATGAAACGTCATTTGCATTCTAATTCCTACATTTTAAACTTTTGAAAGCAAAAAATTTACTACAAAGAATTAAATTATCGTTCTTTTGTTAAAAGTTAATCGTTTCTAATTTACTAAGTATAGATAACAAATGATTTCCTAAACGGAAATATTCAACAATATTTGTCATACTAAACAGGTAATTCGTAGACGGAAATTTAAATCCTTCATGAGAATGATAATAAAAATAGAGCACATATAACGCTTTCCGATCAAAAGCACCTTACGCTAAAGTCAAAAACAATTTTTATTTACTTTTTTTAATACTACCTAAGTAAATTAATAAAAATTGTTTTTGGCTTCAGCTAATTAAAAATTGTCCTAAACATACAATTTAGAAAGTAAGATCACTTTCATCGGAAAGCATCACTTGTATATAGAGTTAAAAAATAGATTAAAATATTAAAAATTATAAAAAAATTTACCTAATATAAAAACTTATTTTCACTTCATGAATTTTAAATTAATAGCCATGTAATTATGAATTGTAAAAACAGAAAACTGATATTAAAATTAATTAAAAAGCTTTAGCATTTGATATAAATGATTAACATAAAATATCCTTTGCATATTTCATAATTATTGAGGCTAAGGATCTTACACTATATAAGTAATAATCATTCATTGATCGCAAATGCTGGTTTTCTATTTTAAACATTTCTTGCTGCTTTAAATATAAAAAAAGACTTCAATAGTATATTAAGCAACAAGGTACGTAAAGGCAGCCATTTATTTACGGTGATTTTTGTGACACGAGTGGAGGTCGAGGGCGCCCTTGACCTCCACTCGTGTCACAAAAATCATCGTAAATAAATTGGCAGCCTTTAAGTCCCGTGTTACTTACGATATTTTTTATTCCAAAGGCACAAAAGTGGCGATTTCAGATAGCAGACGACAGGGAGTAAAAGTCATTCACTTGTTCGACTTAATAAAAAGGCGGCCTTTTTTTCCCATGAGCACAAATAACGCATGGGACTAGCTGTTTTTTTTTTGCCCATGGGAAAAAAAGGTCGCCATTTTTATTCAAGTGGACAAATGAATGGCATTTAGTTCCTGTCGGCTGCTATCTAAAAGCGCCTATTTTGTGCCTGAGGTATGAAAAGTCTATTTTTTCTCATCTTTATTTTTATGAATTAAAAGAAAAAGAAACTAAAAATTGATTTTTTTCGAAACATTTGACAATTAAGAAAATAATGAACATTTTACCATTAATTACAGAACTGATTTTGATGGTTTGGAACAGAGGGTGCAAAGATCAAGATGGTGGAACGAAGATGGAGCTGGAACGTATGACACCGAAGAAATGAGAGATGTTCGGTGGTTACAAGACGCACTTGACGTTTACACAAAAGCTCTCGACGTTTTATGGTAAATTCATTAATTCCTCAAAATAATTTTCAAAAATTAACCCTTTCAGTTCCATTATTAAAAAAACTCGATATAAATATTTACAAACAGGCCGGTAACTATACGGGTTGTAGAGTCGCTAATTACGAATCTGAAATCTGATTTTCAAAATTCAAAATGACAGATTCAAAATTAGAAATCAGTCAAACTTGCTTGAAAGTTGACACTCGGGTGTTTTTATGCTCGCTGATTACGAATCTGAAGATAGATTTTCAAAATTGAAAATGTAATAGATCCCGAAGCGAAATCATAATTTTCAAGCAAATCTGATTATATTTTAATTTCATCGTTATAGCTTTATTGGATCAAATATTTTCAAATTTGAATATCAGCTTTCATATTTATTGGCGGATTATGAAATCCATGCGTAATTTTGTAGAAAATATATTTTTGAATGTACAACAAAATTGCCAAATGAAAAAATTGATTTTTACAATTTTTGAAGCTTTTTTTTAAATAAAACTTTGTTTTCAAGCTCAGAATTGACAGATTTGCTCGAAGTTTTGAGATAAACTCAAAAAACGACTCAAAAGAACCGAATTAAAGTAAAAAAAATAACAAAATTTTTTATGACGCTACACAAGTATATTCCTATGTATTTTTCCCCGCTGAATCCGAATTCGAAGTCAGAATTGACAGAATTGCTCAAAATTTTGAGATTATCTCAGAAAAATGATAAAAAAGCGATTTAAAATAAAAAAAGGAAATTTTTTGCTATGACACTACGCGAAGTCAGAATTCTCAAACTGTCACAAAATTTGTGTTTCTTAGCAGATTTTCTTGTATATATCTCAAAATTTTGAGCCAATTTGATCATTCTGACTTCGAATTCGTGATCTGAGTGAAAAAATATATGGAAATACACTAGTGTAGTGTCATAGCAAAATATTTCCAGTTTTTTATTTTAAATCGCTCTTTTTATCAATTTTTAAATTTATCTCAAAATTTTGAGCACTTCTCTCAATTCTGACTTCGAATACGGATTCAGCGGGAAAAAATAGGTACATGGGAATATACTAGTGTAGTATCATGCAAAAAAATATACATTTTTTTTATTTTAATTCGGTTTTTGAGTACTTTTTTTAGTTTATCTCAAAATTTTGAGCAAATCTGTCTTCGAATTCGGATTCAGCGGGAAAAAATACATGGGAATATACTAGTGTATTGTCTCCTCGGCCAAAACACTTTTTTGTGTACTGTGTTATTCATTTTTTTATTTGAAAATTAATTTGTTTATTTTTCTAACTAATTTCAAATCATAATATTCAAAATATTTTCTGACCGATTGCAGATAGCAATAGCACGGGTTATTAATTCAAAAGCATATTGAATAGTCTAAAATATACATCTATACTAACTGTAAATACCATCTTTTATGAATTTAATAACATTTTATTTAAAATAATTGCAACACTTATTTAAAACTAATTAATATTTTTTACATAAAATTCTTTCAACCCTAATTTTCAACTATTTTAAATATTTCACTAGACAACAATATGCTTCTAGTTGAAAATTATGAATTATTCTATTTTTAATATTTAATTCGACGCCTCCTATTCATAAAATTCTATCTTAAACGTCAATGCAAGACAATTCTATTTGCAAAATAAGTGCAATATGAAGTTAACAAAAGAATTATACTAGTTAAACCAATTTTGAGGTTCAATGAGTATTTTTTATTTAAGTCAAGATTAAGAATTATCTTTCATTGAAACTTTGAAATAGAATTGTCTTGCACGGAAAAATTGAAATAGATTTATCTTGCACGATTCTTTTGTTAACTTCATATTGCACTTTTATGCAAATAGAATTGTCTTGCATTGACGTTTAAGATAGAATTTTATGAACGCCATTTATTTAATTCAATACAGAAATTATTGCTTCAAAAAAATTGAATTCAAGTAGAATTAGCATTGGCGCTATTGAACCAATAGTCTTTTTTCTCAGTGTAAGTTTAGGTACAGGTTATTTGGGTATCGGCCACTGGGACTGCAAGGGTTAAGAAAATATGCTTTTGATTTTAACATGAGACTAAATAGTCTAAAACGTTTTAAAAAATGAAAAATTTTGTAGAATTTTTTTTAAAGTTAATTTGTCTCCAATTTTGTTGTGTACAAATTTTTAAGAACTTAACTTCAGGTATCACAGTGATTTGTTCATATTATATTAGTTAAAAAAGGGGATTCAGTTTTAAAAAAAAGGTGAATTTTCAAATTAAGTAAAAATTATTGTAGGTATTATAATGCATAAAATTTATTTTAAAGATTTTTTAAAACTTTTTTTCATAATTACAGCTTTTTAAAATCAAATTATTTTTTTGTTAAACTTTATCTGTTAATTATTAATATTTTTTATCTTTTTCCGTAGTCTGTACATTTTTTTAATTTAGCTTCCTCTCAAAGGAAACTTTATTGTGATGTCAATTTCCGCACTTCTATAAGAATCAATTATTTTTACAAATTTTCAAGTGTAGTATAATTATATATATTTCGTCAAGAGAAACAAATGTTTGGATAAATAATTTTTTGGTCTAGGAATAATTATAAGTTTTTCTATTGACAGGAATGTCGGAAAATTTATGGAAAAATTGTAACAAATTGTGCTTTCGTAGTCAGAATCAGTTTAGAGTTGAAAAAAGTTAACTGAATTTAGTTCTAAAATAATTTTATATCTACCATCTCACAAAAATTCAAATATTTTTGAAATTTTATCTTAACACTTTAAATAAATTATTCTAAAATAAAAAATTAAGCAATTGTTAGGTATATATTATATTGAGGAAGCTAAATGATCATGAATTGAACAACTTGTTTAATAAAAATTTCTATTCAAACTCTATGTATACGAAGTAAATTTTAGAAAAAAATTAGTGAAATTAATTTGGACTTGGAAAAATTTCCTTCAAAAATAGTAAAATTTACTTCATAAATATAATAAAATTTACTCTGATAATAAAAATTTTTAATAGCTAATTGTAATGTTCGAGGACAATTTGAATAATTTTGCTATTAAAAATCGTTATTTCTTTAGGAAATTTTGTAATATCCGAAGTAAATTTTATTGATAAATAACACAGGTCAACAAAAAAAGACTTACTTTTTTTTATGAGATATCGGAATGGTTTCCGATGTATTTTTGGACGCTGAACACGATCCCGTCTTTCAAAATTGCCCATCACGTCAGGATTTTGAGAAAAGTGGGGGTAAAGACCCCAAAAACGCTTTTTTGAGGATTTTCAACATTTTTTTTCTCTTTAACCTGACGTGCTAGAGACTTCCACAAGGTCTTAAATTAAAGTAATGAGCACTACAAGACCCATATCCATAAAATAAAAAAAATTAAGATTTTTTTCAAAAAATGGGGTTGAACTCTCTAAATCTGAATTAGTAGAAAGTTACTAATGAAATGACGAAAAGTCTTCCACCAAATGATTTAGTAATAATTTTACTAACAAATAGTGAAATTTTACTAATTATTAGTAGATTTTACTAATTGATTAGTAGAATTCTACTAACAATTAGTAGAACTGTTTTATTAATAGTCGATAAAACAGTTTCACTAATTCATTTAGTAAAAAAGTTACTTTCAATTAGTAAAATTTTACTAAAACATTAGTAAAATATTACTAAAAATGAGTAATATTCTACTAATTGAAAAGGGGAAAAGTCTTCCATGAAAACTACTAAAAATTAGTAAAATTTTACTATTTCTTAGTAGAATTCTACTAATTCAGATTTAGAGAGAAGACACTAAAAAAATGTGTGTTTTTGGATTGCTTTAATAGACTTCTTGCAATTGCTTGGATTCGATTAAAAATGGTTACTTAAGGTTTTTGGGGTCACTGATTACGAATCCGATATTAGTTTTCAAAAATTCAAAATGGCGAATTCGTAATCAGCGACCCCAAAAACCCTGGAGTAACAAACTTTCAAGCGAATCCAAGCAATTCTTAATTTTTACATCTGCCATCTTGGTTCCGCCATTTTAAATTTTTGAAAACTAATTCCGGATTCGTAATCAACGACTTTAAAAACCCCGAGTAACAATTTTCAAGCAAATCCAAGCAATTGCATGAAGTCTATTAAAGCATTCCAAAAACACACCTTTTTGGTGTCTTCAACCCCATTTTTTGAAAAAACTTTTTATTTTTTTTTTATTTTATGCGGATATGAGTCTTGTAGTGCACATTACAAGCTTTAATTTAATACCTTGTGGAAGTCTCTAGCACGTCAGGTTAAAGAGAAAAAAAATGTTGAAAATCCTCAAAAAAGCGTTTTTGGGGTCTTTATCCCTACTTTTCTCAAAATCCTGACGTGATGGGCAATTTTAGAAGTCGGGATCGTGTTCAGCGTCCAAAAATACATCGGAAACCATTCCGATATCTCATAAAAAAAAGTAAGTCTTTTTTTGTTGACCTGTGTAATTAGTAAAATATACTACATATTTAGTAAAATTTAATCTGGAAATAATACCATTTGTCAAAAATTCCAAACAATTTGGATTTTTCTTAGAAGTAAAAGTTACTTTATGTTTATTTTTCTTAAAAGTAAGAGGAAAAGAGAAGAAAATGTATGATTTTAGGTGTTTTAGGGGATTTTAATAATTTAAGGGGATGAGCTGTGATCCCTATAACTTTCATTTAAAAGACAGTTAAGATCTACAAACAATTTAAATAGTAGAAGCAAAAAATTGTTGGTTATGTTTGTAATTTTTTTCGAATGATAAAGACAAGATCAACTCTCAATATAAACCACTGATGTTCACGTCTTCATTACATAAAAAATAATCAATAAAAACTAATTTTTGTTTTATATAATAATTAAACAGGATCATGTAATTAAGGTAAAAATAACAAACATAACCTCAAGATGATTTGCTTCTAAGGTTCTTTTCTTCGGATCGTACCACAAATAATAAATACCGTCTCATTTTTGTCGTTCTTACAAACGTTGTAGACATCAGTCTCCTAATTTTAATAATTTTCATTGCTCATAGTAAAAAGAAGAAATGCAAGGGTCAAGTAAATCCGACAGATTGGAATAATATTATCGTAAATGTATTATCAACAAAAGTAGCCGAAGAAGATTCATCCACAAAGGGTTTGGATCTCTCCTTAAAAACAAGAAATTCAAAATTAAACAATTTAGGAAGATTGAAAATTACCAAAACAAAAGCAAACATGGCATGGGGTACATCGGACGATGAGGACGATGACGATTTTTCAAATGATGACGATGAAGAGGAAGGTGACACGGGTCATGTACCAAAAATTTTCAAAAGACTCATTTCAAAACAAAAGGAATCACGCAGTGGATGCGCTACTTCAACAAAAGAAATGAAAAGTTCAATCGACAATGATGACGATGATAATTCACATGTTTTCGTTTCCGAAATGGAAGAAAGTGAATGGTGGACAATGGTAAGTTGATACTCTTTTTCCTCTTCTAAATGAAAAGGATACGACAATATTATTAATGTCATTTTATGTATTTACTATAAAGTATCGAAAATTACATAATTTTATTCACCTATATTTCGCCCGTGTTTAATTTATTTTATTGGGTTATTTAATTGTCATATAAGTAGTCATTATATGCAATTAGAATAGACACGTGACGAGATTTAGTAATAGAATTGAAAAAAAAATTAATCCAAAAAAAATAGAAACAAAAAAACGGATTGATACTATTAATGCTGACATGATTATTCATTTCCTTAGAAGAAAAAAATGGACTTGATAAAACACGTCAACATAAGAAATTCCATTTTGACGTAACACCTTTTTAAATGACTCAAAGCCTCGCTAAGCCAGAGACAATTTCTGAAAGAATTTAAATAAGTAAATGTACTTTCCACAAGAAGATTCACTTTATTCCTCCTTAATTTTATTCTATGAAAAATGACAAATGGTATTTCATTTTTTTTCTTAACGTATATGCAGAAAATAATTCACAATTTTAATTTTTCCTTATTGTATATAGTTTTAAAAATACCGAGTACTTAAATAATATTTAAATAACGAGAACTAAAATATCAATATTAATATATTTTATACCAATAATAATGAAGAACTAACTGTAGAATAAATTGTTGTAATTCTAATAGCACCCTCTCCCTCATAGAGTAGAATTTACATTATTGTAAGTAAAGGAAATTAAAAATATTATAATTTAATTCTCTGCCTGTGCTATGTTCGCATGTTACTTCTGGTTTGTTCAGTTTTTATTTTCTTGAATTGTCGTTTAATAGAATTGCCATATAGAATGTTTATTGTAAATAACAAAATGGATTTGCTACTTTATAGTTTTACAGGCCTCGAATCGCCTTCGACATTGTAAATTACGTACTTTAGGTACCATATATAAACAACTGATTTACGAACAAAAATTTTTAGCATTTATTATTTTAATTGTACAATTTAAATTAATAAATAATGCAAAGCTTCCTCACAAAGAAGCAGAAAATAATATATACTTAAAATTCCATAAAAAGTGCAAATTACAAACCATTATTGACATAAAAAAATTACGTTTTAAATAATTTTTAAAAACTTATTTTAAATTTTCATAATTCTTGGAAATTTTTCTATATATCACTTTTTAAAATTATTATGCGCTATTATTTCTATTCTTATGATTTATTTCTTTACATTATACTATATTATTATCATTAATATTATAAAACTAATAATAAAAAAATAATATTTTATAATAATTAAACACTTACTACCATTTTATTCCTAACAAATAAATGAACTACAGTCGAACCTGGATAAGTGGTCCCTGGATAAGTGGGAATCCTCTTTAAGTGGAACTTTTTTTGCGGTCCCTGCACAAGTAATGCAAAATATCGAAAAAAACCTCTATAAGTGGGAAAACGTTACCTCTATAAGTGAAACTGATTTTTTGAAATAAGGCCTCTATAAGTGGAACATTTTCTTAAATTTACCTCTATAAGTGGAACGATCCCTCTATAATTGGAACTTTTCATTCATTTACCTCTGTGAGTGGAACGTGTCCTCTATAAGTGGAACTTTTTATTCATGTACCTTATTCATAAGTGGAATCTAAAACTTTTTATTAAACCACGATTCATCTATTATTTTACTCGATACGTGTACTTGTTGTTTACTATCTGTGTATTTGCAAAAAAGTTTTCTAGTGACTTAGGTCTTTACTTTATTTAAATTGATTTATTACCAGGACTATAAGTATAAATTATAAGTAAATTATTTTTTTTACGCCGAATTACTTCAAAAATATTCAAGAAATTCATGTTCCACTTATCCAGGTTCGACTGTATTATTATTATCATATTTAGAATATTTCAAAAGAAAACTAGGAACAAATTACATTTTATTTTTAAACATAAATTTTAACTTCTAAATAATTTCAGATTCAAAATTATTTAAAATTAAAAAATAAACTCTATTCTCATAATTATAAAAAATACAAAAATTGTAACATTTTTAAAAAAATTATTTTTTACACCCATAGAAAAGATATATTTGACCCAGAACCAACTATACTTTTTATTTGTGCCAAATAAATTTTATTTCGTTTAAATAAAATTTTATTTGTCCCAAATAATATATGATTTTTATTTTTGTCGAATAAAATTTTTATTTAAAACAAATAAATAACCTTGTTTGTTTTGAGACAAATATATACGTTTATTTAACTCAAACAAAATATATTTGGTTGAAATAAAATTTTTCTCTGCGAGTAAAATTCTAAAAAAGAATTAATTATTATTAACGCAAATTATGGAGAATAGAATAATTTCTTAAATTTTCTTGCAGAAATAATATGAAAACCAATTCGCTAAATCTGAATTAGTAAAAATATTAAATAATTAGAATTATTGACTATTTTTGTTTTGTTTTTGAATTTGTAATTAAAAATTTACTAATAATTTAATAGATTTTTTAATATAAATTTCTTTAATTTTCGTGAGTCCAATTTTTGAGAATTTTTCTAATTCAATTTAAAAAATTATTATTATATTTAGAATATTTCAAAGTTGAATTGAAAACAACTTTCAAATTTAATTAAACAATTTCCAGTTATTTTTGACATTTTTTTAAGTCTTTCTAGTGTGATTTACAGAAAGTCTCAAAATTATTCTTAGTTTGGTTTTTTGTAAACTTTTTCCATTTTGAAATCGAGGAGAAATGTTAACCCTTTTTAAAAACTTATTTTAAAAAGTTGTTGAGCTTAATAATTGGAAATATGTAAATGTTTAAAACAATTTTAAAAATTATTGAATTGGGAAAAGTTTTAGTTATTTATATTCATTAAGTATTTCAAAAAGAAACCTAAATAAAAAAATTAATTTTAAAAAATGTTTAAATTTTTTTTTTAATTTTAGTTTTTAATAAATAAAAAAAATTAATCAAATTAGTCACACAGTTTTTCTAAGATTCTGAAATTGAAACTATTAACAGCATCCAAAACTGTTCGTAATATTGTGATACATTTTTGGTCTTAATTATGAGATCAGTAGAAAAACTGGCGAATTTGATTGACATACTCTCTAAATTTGAATTAGTAATAATGTTTACTAATTTTAATTAGTTACTGACTTTTTGCTTTTGAATTAGTAAATTTTACTAATATAGTAATTTTTCTACTAATTTATTAGTAAAATTTACTAATTCAAAAGCAAAAAGTCAGTCATTAATTCGAATTAGTAATCATTTTTACTTTTTACTAATTCAAATATTTAGAAAGTATGACAAAATAATTCATTTTATACTACAGATTTCAAAAAAATAAATAAATGAACGTTGAATTAAAATTTGTTTAAGGAAGTTGTTTACAGGTATGCAGACCTTCAGAAAAAATATTGAATTGACATTAAAGAATTTTTTAATTATTCATATCTTCTGGAAGAACAAATATCAATTTTCAGGAAAAAAATTTGAAATTTACTAAAATTGTTTATTTAGTTATTTTGCGTATGATCAAAGTTTTCTTCATATATTTGTTTAAAAAAAGTGATTTAATTTAAAAAAATTTTTTTAAACAAATAAGCATATTTTCAAAACGGTGAATTTGTTTATAAATCTGAGCGGTCAAGTTATGGAGAACCATTTTCTGAAGAAAATAAGCCATCATTGACTTAAATCAAATCAGTTTTAAAAAAGTTTAACCTTTTAATATGAAGAAAACTTTGATCATATGCAAAATGACTAAATAAACAATTTTTGTAAGTTTCAAATTTTTTTCTTGAAATTTGATATTTTTTCTTCCAGAAGATACGAATAACAATAACATTAAAAAATTCTTTAATGTCAATTCAAAATTTTTTCTGAAAGTCTGCATACCTGTAAACAACCTCCTTAACATTAAAATTCAGTTTGAAAGAAGCCCGCACTTTGTAAATTTTTGTTAAATAAAAATTCGTTATCGACATCGATAAAATATATAAAATTTCTTTTTAACTATATTTTATGTTTAAAATTATTCAAACCAATTTATATTTAAAATGTATGCTTCTTCGTTAACAAGTACATCAGAGGCAGAGAATTAATATCTTAATGTTAACTCCAAATTCTTAAAAATATAAAAAAGATATTCTTGAAATAAAATTATTCAAGAACACTAAAAAAAATATTCAAATGACAAAAAATAAAAAAAATTTCAGGTGATGACAGTGAGTGGAGTGGGTGTAACCATGTTTACATTGGGATTTCTGGCTGTGTACATCGTCTACTCGAATATTCGAGGCCCCACAGATTAAAGTTCAGAATTTCAAATTCATTCCTGACATTTATATTAGAAATTAATTAGCTATAGTGTTTAGAAATTTTATTCCAAATTTTTCCCTCCTATTAAAAAAAAAACATAGTTGAATCCCAACAAATTTTTTTTGTACTACATTTTTCTTACTAATAGTAAATATATAGTCAAATCCAAATTTTTAAGAATTTGGAATTTGAAACATTTAAAAACAAATTTTAAAAAAATTGAGTGAGAAAAATTTCTCGAACAGTCATTGAATAATTGTTGAATGAATATAAATTTCAGGTAATGACAGTAAGTGGAGTGGGAGTGGCCATGTTTTCTGTGGGTATTTTGGCAGTCTACATTGTCTACTCAAATATACGTGGACCCCGAGGATCAAAAAATGTCGAAAGAGATAATAGTTTAAGAAGAGTTGGAAGTGATCGACGACCAACAATCACACAACGAGTCCTGCGAAGTAATCCACGAAGGGAAAGTAATCGCAGTATTCAAAGTAATGTCTCAGAAAAGAGTGTTTGAGAAAAGTATTAATTTCTAGTCATCAAAAAATATTTAAGACATTATGTGTCTTTCTTTCAATTTTAAACAGTTCAAAATTTTCTTTAACAAAATTAACATTCACATAAATTTCTTTTTCTAAATTTACAAATTATTCTAATCGAACTTTTTTCAATCGAATTCAATGGCAAAATTTGATAAAAACGGAAAATTTATCAAAAAGAAATATATAGGTATGTAAAATACATCATGAAGATGTAAGAACATTTAATTTTTTTAATTTTTTCCAAAAGTGCATAAATTTAATGAATAAAAACTCTTTTCACTTTCATTCAGTCTTTCAAGATGACTGGAAAATCGAGAAAAAAGTCTAATAACAATTTCGTCTTGAAAGATTGAATCAATAAATATAAAAAAATTTATTATTTTAATTAATATGAATTAATTTATCAAATTATTTTATTTACGCATTGAAATTAAAAAATTTATTATTTTAGCAAATATGAATTAATTTATCAAATTATTTTATTTACACATAAAAATGAAGAAAATAAAATACAAAAAAAGGGTATTATAGAAATATTTATGTTACTATAAGTTGTTTTTAAGATGTAATAAAAAAGTTATCTATTTTCGATAAATAAATAATAAAGTTTTCTGTAAAAATAACGTTTTTTAGTTTAGAGAATAGAATTGTGAATGTTGACAAAAAAAGAATGTATTAGAAAAATTATTTTTCCTCTTTTTATAGAAAAACATAATGAGAAATGTGTATAATAATTACAATAATAAAATAGATTATTTATTTTGAACAGGGAAAAAAAAGTTAGCAAACGCGGAAAAATAATTAACTGTATTTTTTTCAAACTGACGATCATTTCTTCCTTGAGGATAAGTTAACAAATAATGAAGACAAATGTGATTTTATTTATTAAAAATTATTGCGAAAAGTTTAATTAATTATAAATGTCCATTATAATTTACTGAGGAAAAAAAATGTTGCGTCACTAACTTGTAATAATACAAAAATAATAAAGATCATTAAATCGTATTTTTTGATATTTCGATTATTAAAATTATTCTAATTAGTTTATTATAATTTTCTTTCCTTCTTTCCATATTTTTCCTAAATCATAAAACAGAAAAATTATAAAATTTGATAAATTTTTCTTTTCATGTATTATAAATAAATAAATTAATTCTAAGTTCTCATAAAATTCAAATTTTTTAAAATTTTTTTTCAAAAACAGGATTATTTTTTAAAATTGTAATAAATTTTTTTAAATCAAAATTTCTTGAAATAAAATTTGACGAATGGACCAAGCAGGATTTAAAACGTCAAGAACAACAAATGCGTGATTAAGAGCTTTTTAATTTGACAAATAAAAAAAAATCCACTGGGAGCCAAAACTAACGTAAATCCTGCTGGGTTATTTCCAATTATTTAAACATTTTTCAATTAATTATTTTACAGTGTTCAATTATTTTCAAAAAATTTGAATGAAAATATTTTAAAAACATTTTCTTCTTCAGTTAATTAAAATTATTCAAAATTCAAAGAAGCTCACAAAAAAAACATTTAAATAGTTTAGGTAAAATACTCAAATTAATTGAAACTTTCAAGACAAACTTAAAATGTAATTCTGATAAAATGTTTCCTCTGACAAAAAGTCTGTTTCTTGGTTCGTTTTCCTGATAGAAATATTTAATTATAATTATTAACACTTCTAACGGGTAAATGCACGTCAGTAAACAGACTTTTTGTTAGAGGAAACATTTTTTACATTTTAAATTATAATTATTAAAATTGAAAATATTTCAATTTGAAATCTTCTCAAATTCAATTATTTTCAATTTTCAAAATTTTCAATCGACACCAAAAAACCAAATTTTTTGCAGCATTTCAGAAATCTGATATTTTTCAACTAATTTGATGTTTCTTAAGTTTTGAACGTTTAAGTGAACAAAATTTATTTATTTCCTCTTTCAAATAAAAATTTTATCACAATAATTTTGTGTCAAGTATTTTAAAAAAATATTAAGTTTCTAACTATATTAAATTTTCGTTTTTAATTTTTTTTGTTTTCTTTTTCGCAGTCAGTAATCTTGGGAAATATATTTAATGAAAAATATTTTATTCATTTGAACTTTCAAAACATTTAGATCATCTAATTTACATGAAATTCCTAGAATTGTTGTAACTTTCTTATTGACGAAAATAATAAAAATGTAAAAAAAAGTTTGACTTGAAATTAAACATTGAAAAATATTCAAAACTAAATTTTCAAAATTTACTTATTTTGTACCGAAAAATTATGTTTTTATATCTACAAAAAGGTGCTGAATGAAAAAAATTTATTTTTACTATTTTTTAAATTAGTTACTAGAAAAATAAGTAAATGAATTTGCAAATAAAAAAATTGGATGAAAATGGTATTTTCTAGCATTTTCAACCTGAAAACAATTGTTTTGTTTTTAAGTGCTTCAAAAATAGGAAAAATCATTTCTTTTCATTCGGCAATTTTTTTGTGGATATAAAAACATGTTTTCTACAAAATTATACATGGATTTCAAAATCTACCAATTTCTACCAAAAAATAAAAATTCAAAAAAGGTTAAAATAATTTCTGACTGATTTCATTTGATAACCATTGAATTCCTCGAAAACAAATTACTATAAAAACAATTTTATAGAATATTTAAATTATTTCCTTGATATTGTAGAAAATATCGGTGAACTTAACCTTAGAAATGTTACTAAATATGAAAATTATTTTAAATTAGAAAATAACTTTATTATTTATCCCTTAAAAAAATTTAATTCGAGTGTAAAGTAATTTGTCGGCAATTATTAATAGACAGTTAAATTGATTTGTTGTTCATTTATAAATTTTTTTAAATATTTTTTGACAACCGGAAATTTGGACAGTGTGGCGCAGCGGCTAAGGTTACCCACGGATGTCGCAGATTAAGATCGTAATAGGGCTATGAGGAATCTAAAGGCTACGTGGTTAGTGGTTGAATAGATACCTTCTATTGTTCTCACCACTTGACCTAATCAGACAGTAAATCGAGATTACGTAATGAGTCAATGATTGTTATTACATACAGTATTATGTTCATGTGTGCCTCTTCAATATAAAATATAATAATAAAATTTCCCTATACTATCCATACAAAAAAATTTAACAAAATCATCGACACTTTTCTTGTCTCCAACTTGACCTTATCCCCAATAATTTTATACAAAACTTTCTCTTTTTTTTTACTTCTTATCATTTGTTCATTTCTTTTCAGACCTTCAATCACTTCTACACTTAAATGTTTCATGTAAAAATTGTAGTATTGCATTTTTGATGAAAATAATTTAAAGAAAAAATTAAGTAAACAAAAGATTTTTTTCTTATAAAAAAAAATTTGCAATTTCAAACTACAATTTTTAAACAAGAGACAGTCACGAAAGTTTAGTTTCGTTTTGGTTTCCAAGTTGATAAAAAACTTAATTAATAAACTGAATTTAGTTTCGTGTTGATCCGAAAGGAAATAAAAAAAACTGAATTTAGAAATTAAAAACCTGTTTTTTACTTTAATAACATCTTCAAATATTCCGATCGACCCGAAACGAAATTAAAAGTAAATTTTTAATTTTGTTTTGCTATTCACAAAGAAAAGCCTCTAAGCTGTCTGCAATTTTAGTATATTTTTGGTAACTTTCATTATCTTAAATTAATGTTAATACGTTTAGTAAATTTTACTTTCGGTAGCAAAAAATCTATGCAATTTACTTTATGGTAGTAAAATTTATGTGCAATGTTAGTAAATTTTAATATTTCCGAAGTAAGTTTTACTATTTTTAACAGATTTTAGTAAATTTAATAAGGTTTAGTTAGTTTTAGTAAAATTTACCTTTGGTAGTAAAATTTTTATGCAATTTCAGAAACTTTTACTATTTTCGGAGTAAATCTAAAACTAAAATCTACTCACATTAGTAAAATTTCTGTGCAATTATGACAACTTATACAATTTTAAATGAATTTTAGTTAATTTCAGTAAAATTTCTGTGCAATTTTAGTAATTTTTCCTATATCTAGAGTAAATTTTACTAGCTTAAATAAATTTTTAAATTTTTTAACTTTTTCTTTATCTTTACTATATAACAAAGGTTTGCTATTTTTGTCAACTTTTAATATTTTCGAAGTAAAATTTATTTAGACGCAATAAAAAGTAACCTTTACTATTAAAATTTTAATAGTAAACTTTAGTAAAATTTAATTTTGTTAGTAAAATAACTTTTACTATTTACAATGTAATTTTTACAATTTTGGATAAATTTTTGTAAACCCGTGTGGAAATTGCCAAGGTTTGCCAATATTGATTATTGGGTCTATAATGGTCCTAGCTTGGAATGTACCTTAACCTGGCCCTAGCTTGGTAATAGCTAGAGCTTCTTGTTAGATTATAAGTTATAAATATATTTAAAAATATGTATCAGTAATTGTTTATGTGTAATTTGAAGTAATATTTAAACATCTCATAGCAAGATTGAGACAATATTGAACTGAAATGTTTACTTTTAACTTTTCATTTGTAAAATTTGACAGATTATCAGTAGAATTCTACTAATTGCTATTATCAGAATTGAGTTACTGATAATTAGTAGAAAGTTTCTGATTCGATTAGTAAAATATAAGTTACTGATTTAATCTGTTGTATAAAAATATGACATAGTCAAATTTACTAATTTATCAGTTGAATTTAAAGGTTATGTTGATTTCTCTTTGGCCACCAGTATATTTACAGCATATCCTTAGTTCCGAAGCTTATGAAAGTTAAAATAAATCTTTAAATGTCTTCAGTTTTTCAATGTTGGGCGCATAAGTTGACTAAACATTGCATAAATGTTTACAATTTTCTTTAATTTTTTAAGTTTTTCAAAACTTTTTAAAATTTTCTTTAAACTTCCTCCTTTAAAGAAAAAATTCATTTAAATTAAAAAAAATTTTTACTTCATGCAATGTTCAGTAAACTTTTGCGCCCAACATTGAAAAACTGCTGACATTAAAGATTTATTTAAAGTTTCATGAGCTTTGATTTAAGCTTAAGTTAATTAACTCAATTAAAATTTTCATTATTACAATATATTTTTCAAGTTAAATTTTTAAAACCGTTCACGGATTTGTTAACTTCTGTTAAAATCATATTTTGTTGAATTAAACTGAAGTTTCCAACGTTTACGTCGACGAAATGAGATAAAAACTTCAATTCTTAAATAACAATTGACTTTCCCTCCCCGATTGGATTAAAAATCTATGCAGGATGTAATGAAAAGAACAATTAAGTTCTTTTTATCAGAAATTATTTGCATCTTGATCTTTAAAAAAATTCTTTTCTCATTTTGCGTCAACGAAAATGTTACTGACTTCAGTTTTATTATTTTGAGGCATTTATAATGGAAATATTCATATGACTTATGATGACAAGAATAACCTGAAGTATCATGCAACGCATCGTACTTAGCGAGCGTGGTTAAGTGGTTAGGTTATCGGTTTACGAATGTTAGGGTCGTGCGTTCAACTCCCAACGTGTGGGGATTTTTTCTCTGTTAGTATATAGAAATTAAGTATTATAAATTACATGATAACAAAAGTAGGTAAAAAAAAGATGAAATAATGAATCTCAATAATAATAAATAAGAATAAATAATTTTTTTTAAATAGTTAATTAAACTGTTCCTTTTATTGGGCCTAACTAGATTCTCTAAGTAGAACCAGGCTAGAAGAGCGTGACGTTTCAACCTAGGCCCTACAAGGATAAACAAGCTAGGACCAAGTTAATAAAGGGGAAATCTAGGTAGAACCAATAAAGGGCCATTAGAAAATTTCCCTCAATTCTGTGCAATTTTGTCAACTTTTACTATTTTCGAAATAAAGTTTACTATTTCTAATAGATTTTAGTAAATTTAATTAATTTCAGTAACATTTAATTTTGTTAGTAAAATTTCTGTACAATTCTAGTAATTTTACTATTTCCCAAGTAAATTTTACTGTTTATATCTATTTGACAAGATTTCTTATTTTTAAGTCAAAATTTTTTCATAAATTCTAACAATTTTGACTATTTTTAATATATACCTTAATTCTGGAATTTTAAAACGCTTTTATTTATATCTTTTTAATAAGATAATAAATTTTAGTAAATTTAGTAAACTTTAATAAAATCTACTGTCAGTAGTCAAATTTATGTGCAATTTTGGTAACTTTTGCTATTTCCGAAATAAATTTAATTATTTTAAAAAATTTTAGTAAAATTACTTTTGGCATTAAAATTTCTGTACACTTTTAGTATTTTTTACTATTTCCGGAATAAAGTTTGCAATTTTTCAATATTTTTTTTTTTCGTCAAATAATTTATTTATATTTTGATATCAAGGTCGATTCAAATTTTGTATTATGTTTTAATTCTCAATTCATTGTAATTTTGTGTTTTTTGAAATTTTCTATTTAAGTTTATTTTTATTATTTTTATTTTCAGCTTATTGTAATTTATGTTTGTTGATATTTTAATTTTAAATTTAGGTATTGTTTTAAATGAATTTTTTTATCCATACTCTATAGATAATTATTCTAGTTTTTCATTGTATTTTTTTTTGCTAAACTTTCTATAATAAGAAAACCATTTCTATTTTAAAACATTAGACAAGTTTTTATCTAAATCCATTTGTCTGAATGTATAATTTGTTTTATCATTTTCCTATAAACTTTTTTTCAAATTTAGTAAATTTTAGTAAAATTTACTTTTAGTAATAAAATTTCAATGCCATTTTAATATCTTTTATTATAGCCAGAGCGAATTTTACTGTTTCCGAAGTAAATTTCAGTATAAAATATACTATCGTTAGTGAAAGTTAATTCAAAAATAGTAAAAGTTACGAAAAGTGCACCAAAATTCCAGACATTAGTTTATAAATAGTAAAAAGTTACTGCACACTTTTCCCCCTGAATCTATAATCATAGGCGTTCAATTTTATACTAAATTATAATAATAATGCATCGAGATACATAAATTTAAATGAACTTTAAATTTTAATGATTTTGAATTTGAATAATTTATAAAAATCGCTCGAAGAATATTCGCAACATTTGAAAGGTTAATAACACGCGCAGACAATAATACCAAGAGAGTGTAATTTTATAGTGATGTCACTAAGAAAAGTCAGTATATACCTATACATTTTCTCAACTTGATGTATTTTAAGCGGAGAGAAAAAAACGTTGAGACACGAACTGAATAGATCATTATATGATAATAGTGAAGGTTTTCCTGTTCTGAATATTTTTGCCAAAGGAAGCAGGAAAATACCTGCTTCTATTCCATTAAATGCAATAAACTCACTTTATTTCGTATAAAAATGAATTTTAAAATTTCTCAAAAATAATTAAATATCACAACTTAAAACAGGGAAAAGCCATTTTGCTTATTAAAAAAATTATATTCGAATCGGGAAAATTTTCATACATCATCACAGAAAAAATATTTATTATAGCCTTCAAATTAATATTTAATATTTTCATTCAAATATAGTTTATTGACATTCTACATTTCTTTCAATTCAATTTAATATAAATGTCAAATTTCAATGGAAAGAAATATGTAAATCATGAAGAAACAATTATCCATAAATAAAAAATTGATTAAAAAAGTATTCATTGAAATACGCAGTTATCTAATTGTATAAATTAGATGAATCTCTCTTCCTTATTTATTTTCTTTTTTTGCATTTGGTTCTCATTGTATTTTTTTTTAAACTGAAACAGGAATTTAATTAAAATAAGTAGAGTATCGGTTTCCCTAATACGTACTTTTTTATTGTAAGCAATGAATAAATGAAACAAAAAGAAATGTAGATTCAATATAAACCGGTTTTTTAAAGGGTCATGAAACCGTCATGACGTCAATACACGTGTACCGTATACAGTTTTTAAAAGTATTTGTTTTTTTTTAAAGAAAAGTAGGAACCAAATTTTTTAACTTACCGTGAATATCATTGTATTTAAATATTGATGATATAATATCAAATTTTCAGCTAATTTTCTAAAATACAACTATATTAAGTTTTTTCCAAAAGAATGTTCTACTCAACCATATAAATGCACACCAATTTCTGGTTCCTTCATATAAACATTACAAAAAAAGGACCTTGGAAAGAATCGTCAATACGAGAATCTGGTTTGACAACTTTTAGACATTTGTGTTCATTAGTTTTTTAAAATATAGAGAAAGAAATGTTTTTTTAAGTTTCTGAAATTTACCGTAATTTTTCAGTTTCAATTCCTAAAAAGATAATTAAAATTTGCTAGAAATTAAATTTCCTCTCAGAAGTAGAAAAAAAGGTTTATATAAAAATTACAAAATTTAATATGGAAAAAATATATATTCGCAATTAAACAACTCTATAAATAAAAAATTTTTAGTTGAATAATTTTTCCAGTCTTTTCAGAAAAAAACTTTTCTGAACAATGACCTGAACTAAATATCAAACTTCAAAATGTAAAAATTTTTGTTGAGACTATTTTTCTATTTTATTCTACTATTTATTTATTTTCTATTTTTTTCTATTTTTTTTACTTTATTATTTCTATTCTATTTTTATTAATCAAAAAAGTCCGATTACACAAAAATTTTAAGAAATATTGTTTTCTTTGAATCAATAAAAATGTTAACTAATTTGAATTAGTAACTGACTGTTTGCTGTCAAATCAATTATAATTTATTATAATTTATCAACAGAAAGTATTTTTAATCAGGAATCAGTACACCCAGAACAAATTTTATTTAAATCAAATACATTTTATTTGAGTTAAATAAACGTATATTTGTCTCAGAACCAACTATGTTATTTATTTGTTTTAAACTTTTAAATAAAAATTTTATTCAACATAAATAAAATTTATATTTGAGCCAAATCAAATTTTATTTGAACTTAATAAAATTTATTTGAAACAAATAAAAAGTCTAGTAGATTCTGAGTCAAATATATCTTTTCGCTGGGTGTAAATTTTAACAGATTTAAAAATTTACTATTTAGTTCAGATCATTTTTTTCTGAAAAGATTAAAACAAATTATTTTTTACTCATATAATCGATTACATTGACAATTAGCAAACAAATATTTATTTCAAACGAATAATTTATATTTAAATCCAATAAACTCTATTCGAATCAATAATTTAGGGATTTAAAAAAATTTAATTGATTTAAATTAATTTCAAAATAAAATATAAATATAATATATCATAGTCAAAAATATTAAATTAAAAAAATGAGTGTAGTAAAATTTTAATGAGAAAAATAAAAATTAATTGCACAAATATTTAAAACAGAAGCGAGTTCTTAGATTTTTTCAATTACAAGTCAACAAATAAATACACCCAGAGAAAAGAAACATTTGACTCAGAACCTACTTAATTATTTATTTGTTTCAAATAAATTTTATTTATTTCAAATAAAAATTTATTTGATTAAAACAAATTTTATTTAGTTGAAATAAAAAATTCATTTGTTTCAAATAAATTTTATTTAGTTCAAATAAAAAATTCATTTATTTCAAAGTAATTTTATTTAGTTCAAATAAAACATTTATTTGTGCTAAATAAAATTTTTCTTCAAAATAAATATTTTAGTAGAGTCTGAGACAAATATGCTTTTATTTAACTCAAATAAATTATATTTGGTTTAAATGGAAATAAGTCAGAACGTTATCAAAAATTTATCGTTACCGTACATTTTCCCGAATCCTATTTCCCGAAAGCCTTTTTCCCGACAAACCTTCTTCCCGACAAATGTTTTTCCCGAATCCTATTTCCCGACAACCATTTTCCCGAATCCTATTTCCCGACAACTATTTTCCCGACAATCCTTCTTCCCGACAACCATTTTCCCGACAAACATAATTTTCAAAATGTTCTTACTGAATCACTTCAGTTGTTAATCTTTATTTGTTGCTATGGCAGCAGTAACATTAACGTCATTTTCAATCAGTCATTTTTATTTGTAACCTTTTGAATTTTGGATTTTTTCTAAATTCCTGTGTTTCAATTGTATAAAAATACATTTGTACAAAAAAAGTACAATAGCTTTTGTTAGAAGGGTATGCAATAAATGATTATATTAACGATTCAGGGTCCTCGAAGGCAGCTTCATATAAAAGCACGAGAAACGTCCATGAGAAGAGACATTCTCTCGCGTCAGCCACGCCGATAATCATCTGACAAAAGATTTATCCCTCTCACCAAAAAAAATATCACTAGAAATTTCACTGAACAAACTTCTTCTTATGTTAAAGAGTTACGTCGTAAAAATTTTTTTTCCTTAAAAAAGTAAAACTAGGAATGTTTTCTTTCCGTATAAAAGAAAACGCGATTCATTGGATTACTGATTGCTAATAGAAGAAAAAACAATTGCTTATTTAATACAGATTAATTAGGAAGTTTAGTGAAATCATCGAACAGTTAAGAAGTGGGCGTATTAAATGATAAGGTGAAATGAGTTTCTATCGCAGTTAACTCTCAGCTTTGTGACTTTAATTACTGTGCTAATTACGTGTTAAGTTCATAGTGATCAGTGTATAAGGAATTAACCAACGGTGGGTAAACTACTTTTTTGTACTCAGAAAGCAATTAATTAATTAATTTTATAATTATTCTTTGTTTTTTTAATTGATTAATTTTTCTAGTCTTTGTTGCCTTTAATTTTTACTTCACACAATAAGCAATTAATTAATTAATTCTATAATTACTCTTTACATTTTAAAATTGGTTTTTTAAATGCTAGTATTTAAATTTTTGGTACACTTAATTTTTATCTTATACACGGAGAAAAATATGAAGTAACTTTTACTACTTTTATAGTAAAACATTTCTGGTTAAGCATTTCTAGTAACTTTTAAAAGCATTTCTTTTACTGGTTTTGGAGTGAATTTTGCTACGTTCGAAGAAAATTTTACTAATTTTTTACAAATATGTTCTTTGAACGTAGTAAAATTTACTTCGAGCGTAGCAAAATTTACTCCGAAAGTAGTAAAAATTACCAGAAATGTTTTACTATAAAAGTAGTAAAAGTTACTTTATATTTTTCTCCGTGTACATAATAAATTTTAAATTAAACTTAATTATTCTAATTAATATAATTCTTCTAATTTTTTTAATGCTGTAATTAACAATTAATAATTGTCCATAGAAGAAAGAAATTTCATCTTCCAGAGGATTCCTCTCATTTTCGAAAATTTCTCATTTGCAAATTTCAATTTTATAGCATCAAAATTTTATAATTTTATCCTCTTGCCAGTATTCCATCACTTAAAAATTAATCCTCTTTAGGTTGCACCCAGAGAAATAGTATATTTGTCTCAGAACCAACTAGACTTTTTATTTGTTTGAAATAAATTTTATTTATCTCAAATATATGTTTTATTTGTGTCGAATAAAATTTTTATTTAAAAGAAATAAAAAGTCTAGTTGGTTCTGAGACAAATATACGTTTATTTAACTCAAATAAAATATATTTGGTTTAAATAATATTTTTCTCTGGGTGTGCTTATTTAAATAATTAAAAATAAATTGAACCGAACTGCTTAATTTGAATACCAAATTAGCAACATTTTTTCCTATTATTAGCAACTAGTGTTTAAAACTATTAATTATTTTATTCACAAATTTTTACAATTATGATTAAATTAAAATTCAATTTTATTCATTAATTTGAATTACAAAATTTGGCATTTGGAAATATTTTTGAAATAAAATAACCGAGTTTTGTTATTTGTTTTTTTATTAATCGTCTCATAAATGAAAAGTTTAAAATTAGAAAATATTAAAATAAAAAATGTTGAATAAAAATATAAAAATTTTAAATTTTATTAGAGATGAATTAAAACTGCCTAATTTGAAAACAAATATTTTTTGTCTTCCTGCTTTAAAAAAAAGAATAAAAAAATGTTTAAAACTCTATTAATTATTTCATTACCTAATTTTTATAATTATAGTTGAATTAAAATTCAATTTTATTCATTAATTTGAATTACAAAATTTGACATTTGGGAATATTTTTGAGATAAAAGAAGCGATTTTTGTTATTTGTTTTTTTTATTTTATTGATCGCCTCGTAAGCAAAAAGTTTAAAAATAGAAAACATAAAATTAAAAAATTTTAAATAAAAATTAAATTCAATTAAAGATGAATTAAAAATGCCTAATTCGATTACAAGCATTTTTTTTCTTCTCCCTTTAAAACAAAGAATAAATGATAATGTAAAAATTTTAAATTATTTCGTTTTGAAGGAGAATAAATTTTTTTTTCAATGCTTTTCAGAACAAAAATGTTAATTTCGAAAATTGAGAGAATATCAGGAAAAAAATTTCTTCTTTTAATATGAGATTACTTTTTTCTACTTATTATCATATTATTATATTCTATTTATTAATCACAAAGAATTTATTTATTTAAATAAATTTTAATATTTGCTAATTAAAATTTTTTCATAAGGAAAAATATTGCTTGCAAATAAAAATGAAAAAGGAAATATTAAAATCGGGAGCAAATTTTTCTCTCGCAGAATCTTAATATGTGGATAAAAAATGATATTTGGATTAATTTTAAAATATACGGACAAATCTTTCCAATTCGGTGTGTGGCAATGCGTTTATTGAACCGAAACAATTTCAGCGTGTTCAACTTTACCAACTTTCATGTAAAGCATACTTGCCTAATAGAGCGACTTATTAGGCCCCCTTCTCAACACATTTTTCTTGCCAATAACTTTTCTTTTTCTTTCTAATTCTCTCCCACTTTTCAACTCTCACACACTTTTTTCTCTCATAAATTATTCTACATAGTATATAGTATACATGTTTCTTTGAGATTTCATAAGATAATCATTAGCGGACACAGCGAATTTAAATGATAGTTGCAAACTTGTACCTGTAATCGTTTGTTTCACAGACTATCTATAACTTAAAACTCTAAGCACATCTTAAAAAAATATATCATTTATAAAAGAGATATTTTTTATCATTCCTTTCTCAAAATTTTCTTAAAAAATTAAAATATGCTAATTTGAAAAATACAGACAAAGAAATTGTCTCAAAAATTAGAGGGATTTAAAAAAATGGAACTACTTTCAAAACAAAATTTTTCTTCCACTTATAAAGATAAATTTAATAAATTTTACGATAGGAGATCAAATTTTCCACTTGACAATTATCAAAACCTAATCTTGTGTCGGTTAAGTATGTATAATAGTATTTTTTAATTATTTAAAACAAAAACAATTGTTTATTCCAAATGAATAATTTCTTCCATCATTTAGTAATAAAAACAATAATCTGCATTATGTTTCTTTTATAATTTCAAGTTTATTAGAGAGAAAAATCCCTCATAAAAGAATAAATTTTTTTTCGAATCAATAAGAAGCAAAAATATTAACAATGTCTCTAAAATTCTAAATATTCAACTAAATAAAATTTACTAATTCAAACCATTTATTTATCAAAAATATTCAAAAGTCCAGAGAAAACACCTATTTTGTATACATTTCATTAAAATTTTTGATGTACATACTATAAATGAACGAAACTTTTTTTGTTTAAATATTTTTGTAAACTACTATACTAAATTGAACAAAAATCTTTCGAAATCTGAATTAGTTAAAAATAATTGATCATAAGTAGAAAATAAATTTAAATAACTACAAAAATAATCAAATTTCAGTAATTGAATTAGTTGATTACAGGACAAAAAATCCAATCCAAAAAATGCAGATCGAAATATCCAAGAAGAAAAGTCCAAAGTACAAAAAATCCAAAATAAAAATGTCCAAAGTCAAAAAATCCAAAATAAATAAAAAAGGTTAAAAATAAATAATGAAACATGTAAAAAAGCCACGTTTTTACATTTTACGCTGTAAAATCAAAATTTATTAATTATTAAATTGTTTTCAAAAATAAAAAAATTCTTCACAAAAATTCAATTATTTTCATAAATAAAAAAATTTCTAGAAAAATTCCAATTATTCAATTATTTTTTTCAATATAATTCCAATTACATCACTCGATTAATTTAATTATTTTCAAAATTTTAAAATGTTAATTATTAGGGCAGCTGTGCTGTCGATACATATGAAACCCATGAGCTTATTTAAGAAATTTATTTGTGATATTGATTCGGAAAAATTGTTAACTTCTTTCACCTTTAATATTTAAAACGTTAAGTTTACTTACTTTCGATTCAGTCATCGAAATAAACAACTCAAAAAAAGGACAATTTCATTCAAGGCAACCATTTAAATTTTTATATCTCAATTTTTTTCATTGGATTTTTCATTTCTTTTGACTTTTTGACCAGGACAAAAAATTTAAAAAATAAGTCTAAAGTTAAACTATTTTTGTTTTCTTGGATTTTTTGGTTTGGACTTTTTGTTTTGGACTTCTTGTCCGGATACCGAATTAGTTACCAAATATTTGCAATTTTGACCAAACCTAAAAGTAAATTTATCTAAAATTTACTTACAATTAATTATTATTTAATTAGTAAAATATTACTATTTGAATCAGTGACTGACATTTTACTATCAAATTAGTCATTTTTTACTAACTAAAATTTAGGGAGATGTAAATTAAACATTTTACTCAATAAAGAATTAATCATTTTATTACTTTAATTAATACTTTTTTTAATTTTATAAAATACAAATCAATAGTTAAGCATAAAAAATATCGAATTTCAAATGAACTGAATTGAACAACTGAATTGAACCTTTAAAACATTTTAGGGACATTTTTGTATTAATTAATAATACATTTTTTTGAAACATTAAATCAAAAATTGTACAACAATTTCTAATGTGATGAGAGAGTTTATAAAACTAATTAGATAAACAAGCGTCAACATAAATGCTTTACTAATTTTCTTAATTGAAAACATGTATTATGCTAATTATATCACAAGAAATCGTTGTTAAGATCTCTAATCGCGAAAGTCTCAATGGTAATAAAGCAAAAGAGATTGATATATCAGTGAGATTTAATGTGAAGTGTTGAATACAACACAAAATACGTGTGTAATAACTAATAAAGGGTATATTAATTGCGCATACAATGCATAATATAATGAAAGATTTTATATACCACAATCTCTATCAATGATTACAAATTTTATAATAAATGTTTCACCGTTATTTATCACCAATGACTTTGTACTGATTTTCAAAAGGCAATAACTTTTAAATATATACACAGTAACACACGTGTGGCTTTTTATCACACACAAAGTCTGACTAATGTATTTTCTTTAATAATTTTTTTACTCAATTTTCCCATGAAAATTATTCGCATAATCATTGTTTTACGCTGTACGTGGCAAGTGTGTCACAGTGAATTTTCTAGCTTTTTAAAAAAACATTATAATTAACCCTGAATCATTTATTATTTATATTGTTTAGTGGAACATTTTTTTACTAGGCGAATTATTTTTTTCAGATAGGGTCACTGCACTAGTGAATGAACATTCGATTGAAACCCTATATTTATAATAATTAAGCGTGAAATTTATTTCTTACAAAGAATGATAAATTAATATTTTCTAAAGTATT